GCGGAGGAGGAGGAGGAGGATGAGAAGTAGGGGAGGAGGAGGAGGGAGGAGGGAGGACGGAGGAGCGAGGAGCGAGGAGCGAGGAGGGAGGGAGGGAGGGAGGGAGGAGGCAGGGAGGGAGGGACGGAGGAGAAGGAGGAGAGCAAAGCGTGGATGGGCCAGGCGGCTCGTGGCGCACGCTTCGTTCGCCGGGAAGTTCAAGCACCCCGTGCGCTTCGACGGGACGGACTTCGTGGAACAGAGGCCAACGCCGGCCTCCCCGGGGCTGAGAGGCGCTCTCGCACGGCTCAGGAGAAGAATGATCACATGTCGGATATCCCCAGTAGGTCTTTAGTTTGGACTCCCCCGCTGTTTCGCTCGGCTGAGAATGAACTCGCCCCTCCTCCTGTTCCTCCTGCCCCTTCTCCTGCTCCTCCTCCTCCTCCTCCTCCTCCTCCTCCTCCTCTTCCTCCTCCTCGTCCTCCCCCCTCCTTCTCCCCCTTCTCCTTCTATGTGTTGCCGAGCGAGTCGTTCCTCTCGCCCCTTGCGCCTCGGCGCGACACGCTAACCTCGTCCTGGTTCCAGGCGCCAGCGACCCGAGCCTTGCACAGCCTCGCGTCCGCGGAGCGGAGGGACACGCTGTGCAGTAGTTCCGGACCGCACGGGAGAGAAGAGGAAGAAACAGGCCCTACATGCCCATCAGGGGGCTGCGTTCATTCAGGGGGGAGGAGGAGGGGGAGGAGGAGGAGGAGGAGGAGGCGGAGGAGGAGGAGGAGGCGGAGGAGGAGGAGGGCGATGAGGAGGAGGAGGAGGAGCAGGAGGAGGAGGAGCAGGAGGAGGAGGAGGAGGAGGCTCAGCAGGGGGGAGCGCCTCGACCCCCCATCGCCCCAGGATCGCCGACGGGGGCCCCACGGCCCCAAACCCGCCCCGCCCAGGGCCATGGCGGCTTCGCTGTGGGGGGCCTGTCGCCGAGCCAGCGGCGCTGCACCGCCGACTCCAGGTTTAAGTCGGGCCTGTCCCCCTACAGGGGGATTTTCGACGAAAAATGCAAAATACACCAAAGTTAATTTAAAACATAGTCAGAAAAATAGTCCGGGGACTATGTTTCGATGATTTTTTACATTCTTGGGGTATTTTTTTGGTATTTCTTTGTTTTTCGTCGAAAATCCCCCTGTAGAGAGACAGGCCCGACATAACTCCAGGTCCGTGCTGCCCCCCCCTGCGCTGTAAGATTGAATGGGACGATCGATGGAGAGGAAGCATCTTGCCAAATAGCTTCCAGATGTCTGAATCATGTGGTACGCATTTTTTAAAACATGTAAAAACCATGCTTAGCACATGTTTAGAACACGTTTCCTAGATTTTAAGCACACTTGAAATTCAATGCTTGGACTGTTAGGGTGTCCATTGTCGTGGCATCCACAACTGTAAGAAGCCTTCCCCCCCGTCCCCGTACTCCCCTCGGCGCCGGGCTGTCCTTTCCTTCTCTTCAGGAAGATAATCATCGGGTTGGGAGGGTGGGGTTGGGGGAAAGGAGGTACCGTTCCCTGCTTCCGAATGCTACGGTTCATGTCCTTCATCCTCCCAACTCCGAACGCCTTCCTCCCAACACGATGAGCGATCTCTTCATCTCTCTCCTTCCGATGTCCAGCTGCTACACTCACCTGCCGGCAAAACAGAATGAGCAGCCCGACCGCATCGTGGCCCCTCAGCCCAGGGGTGCGCGGGCGCCGGGGGGGGAGGGGGGGGACGAGTCATTGGTCCGAAAGATACCCGTACCCGGGGCCAGCCAAGGTGAGATGGGCCGTCCGGGGGACTGGGCGCTTGCTATTGTGCCCGGTCAGCTTGCCCCGCGCGCGCCAGTGCAGCATCCGCGCGTCAAGGCGCAACGGCGCGCTCGATGGTTGGGTGTCTCATTGCAGCGACAAGCGCTGGTTTTTGTTAGGGACGTCTCGGGGTATCGTGGTGCGTGCGCGGCTCAAAGCCGCCCATCTGTGGTGGCGCCTGTCTCAATCGATAAAAAGCGTTGAATTTCCTCGCTATCCTGGCAACCAATGCGTCTGGGCCTGCCCTGAGGAACGACGTTGCAACGTCGCGCCCCGAGGGGGCCGCAGCGGCCGCGTCTGGGACGGCTCTGGAGGGCATGCTATGTGCTCGAGAGCGTTTTGGGCCTGCCGCCACCTCGGCTAGGTACGGGGACCTGCCTGAAACCACCGAAACATACCCGGACTTAGCTGGGGTGGAGCTGCGGCACCCAGGCTAGGTACGGGTATGTTTTTTTAGTTTTCATGGGGCAACCGTACCTGGCTGGGGTGATCCGCAGACGGCCGTCCAAGGGGGGCGGCCTCTGGCGACCTCGCCCATGGCACAGATTCGCGATGTCTCTGCATCGAGCAATTCGCGATAGGGCGGTTGTCGCGCAATGACGTTCGCGCCAGAGTTGTTCGCGTGCGCCCCCGAGTGCGCGTTGACTCCTCAACGCCTGGATGTGTGTCAGGGGGCGCGCCTCCGCAGTGGCTGGTCTACATCGACAACAACCAACGCAGGGTCGGGCACTCCGCCGATTCGAACGCGCGTGCGATCGGTGCTAACGTGCGCCCCGAGAAGACAGCGGTCTGTAATGCTCGATCGGCTGTCGTTTCTGCACTTGTGCAGCCGCCGTCAGCTGCGACGAACCGCCCCTCCGGCCCCTTGCCACCCTGTCTAGGTAAGGGTACGGGTATCTTTCGCGCTCGAGAACGAGGCCACGGGCGCGCCTCGCCGCGCCGAGCGGTGCCGGCGCAGAGGGCCGCGGCAGGCCCGGTTCGGGGTGGGAGCGGCACTCAAGCCGTGGCGAGGCGTCCTGGCTCGCCCATATCCCTGCCAAGTAATGCTCTGAACACCTTTTGCGGTTTCCGCGGATTGTTCTCGGAACATCTCTGGTTGGGACTGTCTTGCTTGCTCACATCGGGCTGATGTTATAAGAATCGTGTTTGCGTTATGAGAGCATTCCCAGACCAGAGATCCGACGTCGTTTTTTATTTTATTATTGAAAAATAATAATACGTAAAACACAAAGAACGGGGTCCCCAGAGGTCTCGAACCATCCTCCAGGACCGGCTTTTCATCTTGAGTCGTTGTTTGGCGGTCTCGAGGCCTGGCGAAGGCCTCCAGAGCCCGAAAACGGCGAAGAACCTCCGTCCTGATTTTTTCACGCCGCGAGCATGTCTGGGAACATTTCGTGGTAGGACTATAGGAATGCCGGGGCGGTCGGTCCCTGCTCAGGGCACCGGGCGCCGCGCGAGGGGAGTGGTCTTCTGGGGCGCCGGGAGCGGCACGGCGCGCGCGCGGGCAGGAACGCGGCGGCGGAAGGTCTCGCCGGCCCTCGGCGTCGCGCGTCGGACGTGTTCATACCGCCCTCCTCGGCGAGGGCTGGCCATCGGGGAGCATCATAAGAGGGATCATCGATCACCGCCCACCAAAGCACCCCAACCCAGCCCGAAGCCCTCAATTTGCCTTCCATTTCCAGTGTGGGGGGGGTCGGGGAACGTTGAAAAAAAACACATGGTATCCGTACCCCCCCAACCCGAAATTCGGGTCAAATTCGGGTCTTCGGGTTGGGTTGGGGTGGTCTGGTAGGTAGTCAATCAATCGAGCAACAAAAACGCGCACGACACCGAAGCATGACCGGGAAGTGGACGTCCGAACGTCGCCGAGATCCCCGTGTCCCGCCCAGGAAGTTTGGCTGCTCCGACAATGGGGGGGGGGGAGGCCCCGGGATGCACCCCGATTGGGGCTAGCTTCGGACGCACTCCTTAGCGAGGAGGACGCCTCCCCTATCGTATGTCCGAGGGCGGGGCCCAACATCGGAGCTCCGAGGAGGACAAGATACCCATACGCGGCCGTCGTTGAAAGGATGTGTTTTGGTCGCCTGCCTCCTTCAAGAGTGGCGTGGTCTTCCCTCTTCCCTCCTCTTCATGTGGCGGGCGTAAGCCCAATCGACCTCCAACGCCTTCAAGCGTCATGCTTCTACCCATTTCTCCCGACCGACGGGTACATCTTGAGAAGGTAAGTTTGTATGTTTGTATCAGGCGCTGGCTGGTTACCTCCTGCCTCTCGCCTACTCGTGTCCCTGCCCCTCCCCTTTTCCCCTCCTCCCCCCCCCACGCCACTTGCTTGCAGCGGAGTGCTCCGCTGTGCCAGGTTGCATGGATCAAGGACGGCCGTCCGCAGGCTGGCTTGTGTAAGTATACCCCCTTGTTTTTGTAGAGGAAAAACAGGGGCCGCACCCGATAGAAGAAATGCGACGACCATGACCAAGATGTCGCGGGGTCGTGTCGACGCCGATCTTGGCATGGCCCATGAAGGCCTCCGCCGATCCGCCAGGATGATCCACGAGATGACAATGACCACGAAGATGGAGGACGACCAAGATCGACACTGACGTTTCCGCGTTCTGACTTCGTCGGGGCCTTCGTCCTCATGGTGGTTCCCTCCACGGAGTCTGCGGGTCGCGCATCTTCCAGTCGGCCCGGATTAGTAGGTCGACCCTGCCAACTCAAGGGTACCCTTGTGTCTTGTGCATCGCGACACGTGTCTTCTTACACTCCCATGGCGATGTGGCCCTCGGAAGGGTCTTGCGTCCTTTCGCGTGTCCTCTCCAATCAAGTCCGACTGTACGTCAACGCAGCACTCAAACGGCGGACGTTCTTGCATGCTCATGATTTGTTGGTCTCTTCGGCTGGCTTCCGGTAGCCTGCCTTCTCTGGTCCCCTGTGCCTGTCGCTTCTTGGATTGCCAGCGCGGCTCTGGGACTGCCCCATGACATGTGTCAGAAGCCGAGCTACGAGTTGTTATGTGTACACCTTGTTCATGTCTAAGTCTTCGAAAGTGTTTTGATTTCTTTGTTTTGGAGGGGGCAGGTCCTTTCATTTCTAATTGTTCTATCCTGGGCCACTACGGGGCCAGGAACAATTAGAAACTTTCACAATTAGACATGAGCACGATTCGAAATGAAGACATGTACGAAGACCCATACAGATCGCACTCGTTCCGCTGACTCGCATCATTGCTGCACCGACGCAGGGGGTCCGTGCTTGCAGTCACCGTCACCCGCACCGCCGCCTCGGTCTTCGTCAACGCCGCCTTGTCTCGAGCATCTTGACCAAGGGGTAGGGAACCTCGCTCACCCCACGCTTCTTATTGCCGCGCGGCCCCCGGCGCGCACACTTCCCCGACCTGCTCGGATTCGAAATGGCGCCCTGCATGGAGGGCTCCACAGACGGATGGCCGAGAGAAGCCCCCCCCCCCGCCGATCTTCCAGCCCAATCCCCTCCGCATCCTCTCCCCCCTTCGCCTCTACCTCTCCCTCTCCGTCTCCCACGCGTTGTTTCTCTCTCCCTCCCTCTCTCTCTCTCTCGCTCTCGCTCTTCGTCTCCCTCTTCCGCTCCCTCCCTCCCTCCCTCCTGCGGGTGTTCGATCTCCTCTCTCCCCTGACCTGCGTGCGGAAGACATCCCGCCTCCCCCGCCTCCGTTGTCTACTAGGGATGATTGGACCGAGTTGGTTTCCCCTGTTTTTTTGTTTCTTCCTCTTTGTTTTTTACAATATGATTGCTTCAGTGTTTCAAAAGTAGTATTCTCGCTGCAGGGTGGGCCTCATGTTCTCGGACTCCCGCCGTTCCGGATGGCGCTCTCGCCCCAGCGCGGGGGGGCACGCTGCTGGACCCGAGTTGTTTTTTTCCAGCCTTGCCGCCCCCTCTTTTTCCTTCTCCTCCGCCTCTTACTGGCTCCTGCCCCTCCCACCCCTTCCACTCCAGTTCCCGCAGCTGAGGATGGGGGAGGAGGAGGAGGAGGAAGAAGAAGAGGAAGAAGACGAAGCAGAATAATACTAATAATAATAATAATAGAAATAGTAATACTAATAATAATAATAATACTCATAAAAATAATAATAATACTATTTCATAATAATAATGCTAATGATAATAATGATAATAATAATAATACTAGAAATAGAAAGAAGAATAATAAGAACAATAACAATAATAATAAGAAGAATAATAAGAGGAGGAGGAGGAGGAGGAGGAGGAGGAGGACGATGAGGAGGAGGAGGAGGATGGTGGTGAGGAGGAGGAAGAGGAGGAGGATGGTGAGGAGGAAGAGGAGGAGGAGGATGGTGAGGAGGAAGAGGAGGAGGAGGAGGAGGATGGTGAGGAGGATGGTGAGGAGGAAGAGGAGGAGGAGGAGGGGGAGGAGGAGGAGGAGGTCCATCATCCTCGTGTTCCTCCCGTTCATCCTCCTGCTCACCCGCTACCTCCTCCGCCTCCTTCCCCTATGTGCGCAGCTTCCCTTTGCAGATTGCACACAGCACGATCGGGGTCTTTTCTGGAGGCCCAGGTCGACCATGACTTGCGTCCGCGGATAGTGAAGCAGTCGGTGCCAGTGGGAAGGGATGGGAAGGAGGGATAGGACGTCAGATACGGCGCGAGCGCATCCAGCTTGCCCTCTCTCCCTCTGTCCCTCTGTCCCTCTCCCCCCTCTGTCTTTCTTTTCTATCCTTCCTCTCTCTCTCTCTCGCTCTCTCTCTCTCTCTCTCTCTCCCTCCCTCTCTCTCTCTCTCTGCCTCGCCCCGCACGCCCTCGTCACCTCTGAGCCGTCTCAGCCTCGGCCCCCGGTCCGCCCGCGGGCCCTCCATCCCACGACCAGCCGGGCGCCCCTCCGCTCCTCCTCCTCCTCCTCCTCCTCCTCCTGCTCCTCCTCCGCCGTCCCCCCTCCTCCTCCTCCTCCTCCTCCTCCTCCTCCTCCTCCTCCTCCTCCTCCTCCTCCTCCTCCTCCTCCTCCTCCTCCTCCTCCTCCTCCAGCTCCGCCTCGAGGCCTCCGGGCGCCCAGGCCGCGCCCAGTGGCGCCAGGAGCGCCGGGAGGGCCGCCCCGTGCGGGTGAATCGGGGGCGGCCAACCCTGACCTTCCAGAGCGCTAAAAAATAACACTCCAGCCCTAAAGATCTATCTGGCCTGCCTAGAAAGAACCTCGCCAGGAATCAGGACGTCGACGTCCTGGCGCTGTTTTTTAGCCCTCCTGGAAGGTCAGGGAGGAGGTGGGTGATCAGGGGCACAAAAAGTGGCATAAACATGAAAAGTCGGAGGTCCGCGCGGATTCCTCGGATCGGCGCTGGGGCCCCCCTCCCTGGCGCGCGGAGCGCGCCAGGGGCGGCGCCGGAGGCGCCTCCGGCGCCGCCCCTGGCGCGCTCCGCGCGCCAGGGAGGGGGGCCCCAGCGCCGATCCGAGGAATCCGCGCGGACCTCCGACTTTTCATGTTTATGCCACTTTTTGTTTCCCTAGTGATGATTACCCTGATTCCAGAGCGCTAAGAAATAACACTCCTGACCTATAGATCTATCTGGACTGCCTCAAACCTCGACAGGAATTAGGACGTCGATGTCCTGTTTCTATGTTTTAGCCCTCCTGGAAGGTCAGGGTAGCTGGGGTGGATAGCATGTCGTGGGCAAGGCTATCTCCTGAGACTTCATGGCGCCTCTTCTTCTTTCGTCACGTCCCTGGCCCTCCACCTGGGCGGCGCACGTGCCGTCGGCCATGACTTGCGCGCGTCCCCCTCGTGGACACCTCCCTCTTTGGCGCCCTCGACACGGTTCCGAGGTCCACTGGACCAGACGTGCGATCCCTGCGTGACTACTCTCCTCATGCTGGGAATTCTGGCCGACAGCTGGTCGACGGGTCTTGGCGCCTGGCAACTCAAACCGCAGCTTCGACATCATTGGCTTCCTTCTATTTGGCGTTGGCCGCTGGCACCTCAGGCATTGTCTGCAACAGGCGGATCCGAGTGCCATCTTAGTACTTCAGCTCTCTGCACCATCTTCTCGAGCTTTCTCATGGTATCAGATATTCTACGGGTTCGACGGACACTGCAGTCCAAAGGTTGCTGCAAAGGCCTTCGTCGAACTGTTTGGTTTTGCCCAGTGAGCGGCAGCATGCGCATTGCGAGCTTCGCGACCACCTAGTATTCAGCATGGCACGTGCATCTGTTCCCCGGCCACGGCACGAAATTGAGGCACATCCCCTGGAACCAACGCGAGCGCCGAGCTGCGAAGTCGAGAACTCAAACGGATAAGGAACAGATTCTGCACTCGGGCGCACTGAAAGCCCCGATTAGAGAAGATGGCCAGCCTCACATTGGCCCCTTCTCTGCCGACGACTCTGTTCCCCGACCAGTTGGTGACTACGATGCAAGTGTTTGCATCTTTGCGTCGTTTTCACTCGTGCTCTGTGGAAACACAGAGCTATCCCGCAGACACCTATTTGGTGTGTGTGTGCGTGTGTGTGTGTGTGTGTGTGAGTGTGTGTGTGTGTGTGTGTGTGTGTGTGTGTGCGCTGAGGGTGCGGAATGGGTTCGGTGTGTTTTTTACTTGTTAGCCCCCTGGGGCCGTACACGGCGAGGTACGCCGAGAAGGAGTCTAAGCTCCTTGTGTTTTCTTTGTGGTGTGGACGGTATCAGGATCATCAGCACTACTCATAGGAATTGCCGCTTGTCGGTACCTATCACCCGCAGCCAATGAAGCAGATGGTCGTGAAACATCATCGGTACTACGCCTGCGCCGTGGGCAGGCTGGTGAGGGAAATGTCGGCGACGTCGGCCGCCGTTTATGGAGGCACCCAGGGCATCGTGGAGCATGTGCCAATGCTATTTGGCCCCCGTTCTTCCAAGGCGTTCTCGAACAGCGTCACTCGGATGTTCTTCACGTTATACTCGCTGGAGCCTCGTCTGGAGAAGGCCCGCGCAGTGCTTTGTACATCCGTCGTCGGAGAGACTTGTTGACGACCACAGGTGTAGGTGGTCCGATCGAGTTCTCTGCGCCTGACAGGGCTGGGTTCCTGTTGTCGTGGTTGGCGTGTGATCGCCCGCGGGTCGATTTCCTTCCATGGCCGACGGCCCAGCTGGCAGGTATGATCCACCGTGCAGCGAGTTTGGATACACGATGTGCTCCGCAGTTGCCACAGAGTGTTGTCAGGGACGCTTAGCCTCGACAAGTGATGATGTCATCTGCGGCTTCCCGGTCCACGTGCTCCCCAGACCCGCGCGCCTGTCCATCCTTGTGACCCCCGCAAGATCGAGATCTGCAAGCATAGCGTTCGGCGTTGCGTCCACGGCACCCTTGTCGGCTTTCAGCGTTGGCGGCATCCTCGTCTTCAGTCTGGCTTCACAAAACGCCAACTTGGAAGGATCGGGTTCAGCATCCCGTTTCCTGCACATGTTCACGATTGCGCAATTCGTTCATGCCCCAGGGGCTTTTCCAGTCCTTCCCGTCATGCAAAAGTTGCGCGCAGTCCCTGGCACGAGGAGTCTTCCACAATGGCCCCGACCATCACGTACAGTGGGGGCCCAGGCCAAGAAACACCCTGCTCGCCCCCAGAGTGCCTTGGGTTTCTTGGGTGTCCATGGCTTTGCGATGGAACGCGCGACGCTCCCACGCCAGACAGTCGATGGACGTCCTGGGGCCTCAGGGCTGGGTTTCCTGTAGGTGGCCTCTCGTGGACGGGCCTCCGCTGTACAGTCGGGGCCCTGAAGAAGGAACCCTTTTCGTTGGGGAGGGGCTCCGCGTTCCTCAAGTGTTTCACAGCTTGCCTCAGGTTGTCCTTATGTTTTCGATAGGAAATCGAAGTTTAACTTATGGAAAAAAAGGGCCTCATTCCTTATTTAGGGTTCCTTAGGTCAACGCTCCGACTGTAGCCCACCGCCTTCGTCCACGGATAACTTGCCGCCGTGCCTCTCGGCCGCGTCCTTTTTTTCTTCCCCGGGCCGCTCTGCGGAGGCCGCGCGCGCCGCGTCCAGGCGTTCACCGCGCGGCTGCAGAGTCGGTTCGGCTTCCCAGCATCAGAGTGGGCCTGCCTGGAGCGCGTGCCGGGTTTCAGTCGGGCACGTCCCTCTACAGGAGGAGCATTCACACATAGCAAGACATGGCACGGAGAGGATTCTCCGATTATTGTTTGGCTAAATTTGAATCTGTGTTTGTGTATTTTCGAGTTTTCGTCCAACATCCGCCTGTAGGGTGACATGCCCGACCTAACCATGGAGCGCGCGCTAGGTTTTCCAGCTGACTCAGTTGACAGAGCGAATGATGTTGGATGGCAAATTGATGGAGCTGATTCAGCTCGGCATTGATTGTAGGTTTTTCGAGCTGATGCAACGCGGCCCCCCCAGCCTGGTTCGAATGAGTTCATTCTCGCAGCGTAGCGTGGTTGTGGGCTAGTAGCGGCTAGAGCGGAGCTGGGTTTACCTTTGCGGCTATGCCTCCGGAGTCACTCCAAGACCCAAGTGCCAATCGAGTTCCCGCTCGCGAAGTCGAAGTGTTCCCTTCCGTCGGGTGACGAGTGCCGATGAAAACATCGGCGTTCTTGTGTGAGGAGAGGCGTTGCTGCATCGGAGGCGCCGTCGGCCTGCGGCTGCTGGACTTGGGCCGAGCAGCGAGGGGCGCGTGGCAGCCGCATGCGTGGCTGCACAACTCTTGCGCGCGATGCCGACCAGCCCGCGACCAGTTCTCCGCGGCCCGCTCGGGAGCAGCGCGTGCCGCGGTGGCGAAGGATTTCCCCCCGAAGTGGCATCGCCGGCTGATCTTGTCAAGCGTTCCCGTCGATGCCGCGCCCCTCGCGCCTGACATCTTGCCGAGAGGCCGCTTCTGCGTGGAGGCTAAAGGGCTCGGAAATGGGCTTCTGGCGTCCTGCTGGGCGAATTTCGCATCTGTTGCCGGCGTCGCTTCTGAGTTCCAAGGCCACCTTAGCGGTAGGGCGCTGTCTGATGTAAGTCCATGGGCGTTCTTGGGGTTTCAGGAGTTCCACCTGGCTTGGAGTCAGATCGTTTCGCGTATTCGGGCCTCCAGAGCATGTCGATCGGCGGATTCGAGTTTTCTTATTCCACCATTTTTTGTGGATTATGTTCTTACGACGAGTCCGTCCTGTTGCCGTCCGCGCGCAGCGCTTGTCACGCGCGCAACTGTGTTGCATTCTCTGCCGCTGGCATCGGCCCCGCCGCTGGCGTTTTCTGATGTGACTTGGCTCGACCTTCGCACTCAACGTTCCCGGAGTTCTATCGCTTGGGCACCGCAAGCTCGTATCGGGGGCGGTTGTTTCGATGAAGGAGGCAGACGTTTTCCTCTCGGCCATCAAAGGTGAGGGCATTTGATTTTCCGACGCAGGGAGTGCGCTGGCTAACGTGGTTTTCATGACCTTGCCTTTTGGGGAGTAGTTGTGCGAATTATACAAGTATGGGGTGTCCGTTGTTCGGCCGCTTTCGTTGCAGGTATCACTGTGGAAAGGATTAGAGTTCAAAGTTTACCTGCCACCAACGAGCACTGATGGACTGCGCTCTGAAGTTATCCAGTCGTGGTGGACGCCGCGCGTGTTACATGCAGTCGAGGCGAACCACGTGCATGATTGATTTTATGTTACGGGTATTTTCCTCTTATCCACAGTAGCGATGGTGGGGCGGCGAAGCAAGGATCGACGTCAGCAGGATCGTATCCATGTGGGGGTGGGTGTGTGTGTGAGTGGATTGGCCATTCGGTGAAGCCCATGTGTTTATTGCGATGCGAGGCGCGCGTGTTGATCGGGTATAGTTTTCTCTCTATCTATCTACCTAGATATATAGTTATTTACATGTGTATATCCATTTCTCTCTTACTCAAAGTTGCTGTCATCTTTATCTGTCCTTGTGTCTCTCTCCTCCCACCCGTTTCCAGAGAGGTATCAGTCTTATCTTTGTTTGCCCGCAGGCCTCCCCGAGAGTTGGGGTCGATCAGTTGGGCACCCCTTCTATCCTCTTTTTTTCTCGTTTGGCGGAATATTTCGGCCTCGAGCTCTCCTAATGCTTAAGCCGCACTCACAGCACTAGGAATGGCGGGTGGCTCCCGTAGGCGTGGGAGGCCGCCCATGCAGATAGAGAAGTTCTATCTCTTTCTCGCTCTCTCTCTCTCTCTCTCTCTTTCTTTTTTTTTGTTCTCTCTCTCTCTCTCTCTTTCCCTGGCTCTCTCCTTTTTTGTCTCTTTCTTTCTTTATTTCTCTCTCTCTCTCTCTCTCTCTCTCGCTATATGTGTACTGTATATATACACATATTTATATGTATCACTATTCCTCTCCCTCTTAGTTTCTTTCGTTATTTCTTTTGTTCTTTGTTTCTCTCTCTTTCTCTCTCTCTCTTTTCTCTCTCTCTCTCTCTTTTCTCTCTCCCTCTCCCGTTTTCTCCCTCCCTCCTGTCCCTCCCTCTCACTGCCCCTTCGCCCCCGCGAGGGTATATCAATCCCCAATCTGCAGTCATCAGTTCAAGTTCGGGGATTGGCATTGGTTCGTCTCTGATCGTGGTGGTGGTGGTGCCAGGATCCTGGGACCCAACAGTGGGTTTTGGACTCAGTTTGTGTCTGAGAGGGTTTCCACCCTGCCTCTATCATGGAAAACTGCTGCTTCCCTGTCTCGAGCGTTCCTCTGAGCGGGGTTGAGAGGGCGAGGTGGGTCGATCTTCTCTGGCCATCCGCAGCAGCGAGGGCTGGCGCAGGTTGCAGCCCCCCGAGGGTGCAGCTGATGGCGGTTCGTGCCAAGGCAGAGGCCCAGGGCCCTGGAACACGTGCGGCGTGCTGCCCCCCTATCCAGACGTCCAGCGCCCTGACGCGATCATCCTGGTCGCCTGTTTCATGTTTCCCCCCCTTTAGGCTTGCCGAGAGGGGTTCTTCATTGGTTTAAGATTGGTGCCTGGGAATGTTGCTGTGCCCGTTGTTCGGAGGTTCCCTGGGTTCCCCAGGTTCCTTGGGTTCCCCGGGTTTCTCGGTCCCTCGGGTTCCCGGGGTTCCCGGGGATCTTCGGGTTCCCCGGGTTCCCCGTATTCCCAGGGGTCCCCGGGTTCCTCGGATTCCTTGGGTTTCCCGCCTCCAGTGTTTCGTATGTTTGTCCCCTTTCCACGCAATACGAAGCAATGCCAAGCATTGCCAAGCACTACGCCCACGCAGTAGGAAGCTTTCCTCTGATTGGGGTCGCGCCGGGTTCCTTCTCTTGGAGCGCCCTGGATTCCGTTTCGGGCCCCGGGGACCGTTGACGAGAGGACAGCCCCCCGTGCGAGGGTCCATCTGGACGACACGATCGAGAGATTTTTCGAGACCGTCGGAAGCTCTGTGCCCCCAATACCTCTCCCCCGCCCCCTGCCGCCCCCACGCCCTCAGGAAACAACGTGCGCTTCTTTGTTTTAAGCTTATCAAACAAAGAAACGCCACGGGTGTGCTGGTCGGTTCGAAACCGTCGGAAGCTCAAGGCCCCCTACCTCTCCCCCGCCCTTGCCGCCCCCACGCCCTCAGGAAGCAGCGTGCGTTTTTTTTTGTTTTGAGCTAACCAAAAAAAACACGCCGCGGGTGTGCTGGGAGGGCGGATCGGGCAGGGTCTGGCGCCTTCCGCGTTCTATTGGGGCGGTCGTCGGCCGAGGAGGATGAGGAGGAGGGTGAGGATGAGGAGGAGGATGAGGATGATGATGATGATGATGAGGAGGAGGATGATGATGATGATGCTGATGGTGATGATGATGACGCTGATGATGATGATGATGCTGATGCTGATGCTGATGCTCCTGATGATGACGATGCTGCTGCTGGTGGTGATGATGATGCTGATGATGATGCTGATGCTGATGCTGATGCTGATGCTGATGCTGCTGGTGCTGATGAGTATGCTGATGATGATGGTGATGGTGATGATGATGGTGATGATGCTGATGATGATGGTGATGAGGACGTTGATGCTTCTGGTGATGATAATGATGATGTCTTTACCGGGAATGATGGGGAAGATGATGATGACGATGGTGATGACGATGCTGATGTGGATGAGTGTGATGATGATGATGTCGATGATGATGATGCTGATGATGATGATGATGCTGATGGCGACGATGGTGACGATGCTGATGCTGATGATGTCGATTATGAGGCTGCTGTTGATGATGATGCTGGTGGTGACGATGCTGGCGATGATGATGACGATGATGATGATGCTGATGATGATGGTGATGATGCTGCTGATGATGATGATCATGATGCCGATGGTGGTGGTGGTGATGATGATGATGATGCTAATGATGATGATGATGCTGAGGAGGAGGAGGAGGAGGAGGAGGAGGAGGATCAGGTCAAGCCGCTTGAGCAGGTACCATCTGGGACCTAACCGTTCGAAAGCCCGCTGGCCCGAAGGAGGAGGAGGAGGAGGAGGAGGAGGAGGAAGAGGAGGAGGAGGAGGAGGAGGAGGAGGAGGAGGAGAAAGAAGAAGGAGGAGGAGGAGGAGGAAGGGGAAGGAAAGGTGTAGGAGGAGGAGGAGGAGGAGGGGAGGAGACAGCGGGGGAGGCGGGAGGAGGAGGAAGAAGGAGGAGGAGGATGAAGAGGAGTTCGAGGAGGAGGAGGAGGCGGAGGAGGAGTAGGAGGTGGCGGAGGAGGAGGAGGAGGAAGTGGAGGAGGAGGAGGAGGAGGAGGAGGAGGAGGAGGAGAGGAGGAGAAGAAGGAAGAGCAATTCGAGGAGGAGGCGGAGGAGGAGGAGGAGGCGGAGGAGGAGGAGGAGGAGGAGGAGGAGGCTGCTGCCGCCCTTTGCACGCCAAGGGAGACGGCTTTGGCTTCATGTTCTGGCTTGGACCCCCCCCCCCGACCCACGGATCCGTAGTGCATGTTAGCTTGTGCCCGAGATGCCGTTCCCTCGTCGCCACGGCTGGTTTCGCCTCGAAATCTCCGTCAGAGCGCACCCCAGGAAAGGCTGGCGGAGCGGCGGCGTCGGCACCCCCGCTGTGCTCCCCCTGGGGTGGCTCGAGGGGGGGAACCATCCGCCGCGCAATTACCCCGTATAGGGGATTTGCGCTGAGCGTGTCGCTCCGCCGGTCCCAGCCCGCCACGCTTCCCGAGTGTCTTCGGGCGGTTCGCCCGGGGTCTTCGGGCGTTGCGCCCGGTGGAGCGGAGCGACCTGCTATCCGCTTGCAAGGCACGGCGGGCGTGTCGCCGGGTCCGCCGCGGAGACACGCTGAGGAACAGCTGTTCGTGATGTCTCCCGTCGCCAGAGGCCGCGTGCCAGCACACCTTGCAGCCCAAGCTACACGGGCACTTCCATTGGCCCCGCGTCGACAGCGTGGAGGTCCTGCAGCGGAGGTGCGAGGATCGGACCCCGATTCGAATCAGCATCAGTTTTTCCCAAGCCGTGTTTTCCGACCCCCTTGGGGGGGGGGGCAGGGGGCTATCTTTTCCTCCACGTCTGGCGTGAAACATCCGTTTCAATTTACGGGATGTGATTTGTAGTTGGTTCCCAGGGGGGCGGATGTAAGTTGAGGTCCACCTGTCACAAAAGTTCGCCCGCCACTCAGTCAAAATCACCACCGCCACCAGCCGCCGCCATCGACACCCGCACCCAAAGCCCGAACCGAGGCAGCGGGCATCCGTACTTTTCCCTATTCTCCCTCCTTCACTCCTTCGTTTTCTCTCTTTCCTTCTCTCTCTCTCTCTCTCTCTCTTTCTCGTTTTGTTTGTCTGTCTCTCTCTCTCTCTCTCCCTCCCCTCACTCTCCTTCCGTCCTCCACCTGTCGCTGGCGCCACACACAGGTCTGGGTACAGTCGGAGCGTTGACCTAAGGAACCCTAAATAAGGAACGAGGCCCTTTTTTTCCATACGTTAACCTTCGATTCCCTGTCGAAAACATAAGGAAAGTCTGAGGCAGGCTGCGAAACACTTAAGGAACGCGGAGTCCCTCCCCAACGAAAGGGGTTCCTTCTTCAGGGCCCCGACTGTAGACGAGGTGGTCCACGTGACGCACGCACACCTGCACGACGCGGCTCTCGGTCATGCGGCCGCTGCCCGCGAGACCCCTTCTCGAGCCCAGGCATGCTCTCGGCGCAGGGCAGGGGCACAGCCCGAACCCCCCCCTCCCCCTCCTCCTCCTCCTCCTCCTCCTCCTCCTCCTCCCCTTCCTCCTCTCTCCTCCTCCTCCTCCTCCTCCTCCTCCTCCTCCTCCTCCTCCTCCTCCTCCTCCTCCCTCCCCCTCCTCTATCCCCCTACCTCCTCCTCCTCCCCTCCTCCTCCTCCTACTTCCTCCTCCTCCTCCTCCTCCTCCTCCTCCTCCTCTCCTCCTCCTCCCCTCCTCCTCCTCCTCCCTCCTCCTCCCTCCTCCTCCTCCTCCTCCTCCTCCCCCATCCCCCCCTCCTCCTCCTCCTCCTCCTCCTCCTCCTCCTCCTCCTCCTCCTCCTCTTCCTCCACCCCCTTCCCCTCTTCCTCCTCCTCCTCCTCCTCCTCCTCCTCCTCTCCTCCTCCTCCTCCTCTCCTCCACCCCCTTCCCCTCCTCCTCCTCCTCCTCCTCCTCCTCCTTCTCCTCCTCCTCCTCCTCCTCCTCCTCATCCTGCTGTTCCTCCTCCTCCTCCCCCTCCTCCGCCCTGTGGGAGCTGGTGCGCCTGGAGTATCTTCGCGCGCCCTTCGCGCCTCCCCACAGGCCGACGGTGTTCGCCCGCTCGTTCGCCCGCGCTCTGCTAGCATGCTCTGCTCTTCGGCCCGCGCGGGCCAGTGGCAGCGGCTGGAGACAGGTTTTCATATATATATATATATATATATATATATATATATATACAAGACTGCAGTGGCGCGTCGCGCCATGCACCTTGGTCCTTGAAGTTTGGTATGCAGGCGGAATAGCAGGAAAGTCAAGCCGACAATTTAGCGATAATTCCTGATTACCTTTTCTGGCATCGCCGCTATAATAACGTTATTCGTTATCCTTCCTCCATGCTTCTTTTTCCTTCTTTTCGCCATGCCCTGCGCATTCTCCCCATCCTCCTCAGCTCTGTTTTGCGGAGGCTCCTCCTTGGAGAGCCTCTAGGGGCCTCACAAAAGTTGGTTCAAGCTTTCTTAAGGCCTTCTGGAGACCTCCTGGGCGTATTCTGGGGCCCCCCGGGGGCTTTCTCGGGCCACCCTGCCTCCAACCGCGGTCTCCCTGAACGACCGAATCACGATTTGGAATTCTTCGGAGGGTGTCTTTGGGCCATCTTGGGCTGCCATGGGGCTTTTCTGAGGGCCGTCTTGGACCCGTGTTGTGCCGTTTTGGGGCTCTCGTGGATTGCCTGGAAGGCCTGTCGGATGGTTGTGGGGCGATTTTGGAGCCTCCCAGGCGGCTTCGGACGCCCAGAAGACCGCCGTCTTGGAGCGTCGGGAAGCCGAAAAGAGGAGAACCCCCAAATTCACCAAAAGCCCAAAGAAAATCAATGATTTTTGCCGGCCTTCTTGGGAGTGCTCTTGGAGGCCTCTTTGGGGCCGTCCTGGAGGCCTCTTGGGCCATCTTGAGGTCACGTCGGTCACTCAATGGAGCGCTCTTGTGCTGTCTTGGGGGTCTCTGGGACGTCTCCGATGACCCCCCTGATCGCCCTAGGTGTGCTGGGAAGGCTGGGCAAAACGCAAAATATAGGAAGAGGAATCTATACAGATTCCTCTTCCTATATTTTTACAAGCCCGGGCGGGGGGAAAACCCGTCGCCCCCCCCCCCCCCCCAAAACGGACTCCCGGGATCTGGGGCTTTGGGACCCTCCAGACGGGCCTCGAAGCGGCCACCGGGCCTCACATGGCGTTTTGCCAAGCCTTCCCAGCACACCTAGGGCGATCAGGGGGGTCATCGGAGACGTCCCAGAGACCCCCAAGACAGCACAAGAGCGCTCCAAGAGTGACCGACGTGACCTCAAGATGGCCCAAGAGGCCTCCAGGACGGCCCCAAAAGGCATCCAAGAGCACTCCCAAGAAGGGCCGGCAAAAATCATTGATTTTCTTTGGGCTTTTGGTGAATTTGGGGGTTCTCCTCTTTTCGGCTTCCCGACGCTCCAAGACGGCGGTCTTCTGGGCGTCCGAAGCCGCCTGGGAGGCTCCAAAATCGCCCCACAACTTTTCGAAAGGGCTTCCAGGCAGTCCAAGAGAGCCCCAAAACGGCACAACACGGGTCCAAGATGGCCCTCAGAGAGCCCCATGATGGCCCAAAGACACCCTCCGAAGAATTCCAAATCGTGATTCGGTCGTTCAGGGAGACCGCGGTTGGAGGCAGGGTGGCCCGAGGAAGCCCCCAGAGGCCCCCAGAATACGCCCAGGAGGTCTCCAGAAGGCCTTAAGAAAGCCTGAAACATTTTTTGTGAGACCCCTAGAGGCTCTCCAAGGAGGAGCCTCCGCAAAACAGAGCTGAGGAGAATAGGGAGAATGCGCAGGGCATGGCGAAAAGAAGGAAAAAGAAGCATGGAGGAAGGATAACGAATAACGTTAGTATAGCGGCGATGCCAGAAAAGGCAACCAGGAGTTATCGCTAAATTGTCGGCTTGACCTTCCTGCTATTCCGCCTGCATACCAAACTTCAAGGACCAAGGTGCATGGCGCGAAGGCAGTCTTGTGTGTATATATATATATATATAGATATATCATTCTCTGGCGATGGCGACCCGGAGACCCGACGCTCCAGCAAAAATTGGAGCGGCGGGGTTTTGGCCGGTTTCGGCCTCCAGGGGCCCTCGCCGGGCCTCGGGAGCGCCAAAAAAAGACTCAAGACGAAACACCGGCCCCGGGGAGTGGTCCAGACCTCCGGGGCCCTCGCATCAAAAAATGGGAGCGGCCAGATGTCTGGGGAGCGTGACCCGGGGACGGGGGGGGCGCGGGGCCGGTCGGGGCTCAGGAGACGGGGGTCCACGCAAGCGTGGGTCAGTCAGAGCGCCGGATCTTGCAGGATCCTGCAGGGCCGGGGGTGCCATGATCCGCGGCTTTGGGTGCAGGGCCCTGCAGGATCCTGCAGGATTCTGCAGGATCCTGCACGGCCTGGCTGACTGGGGCCTGCACTGGCCCCCGGGTCAGAAGAGCCCCGAGCAGGGAGAGGGCGCCAGTGTCAAGCAGTGGCGAAGCGTCCTGGATCGCCTATAGCCCTACCAAACAATGTTCTAAGAACCTTTTTATGGTTTCCACGGAATGTCCTTAGAACATTTCTGGCGGCGTCTGTTTTGGTTTAACACATCGGGCTTATGTTCTAAGATCATTGTTTTTGTTCTTAGAACATTCTTGGGTTATAAGAACATTTCGTGGTAGGACTATAGAATGCCGGGACGGTCGGTCCCTGCTCAACAGTGGGGGAGGGGGAGGGAGGGGGGTGGGCGGGTAGGGGGAGGGAGGGGGGTGGGCGGGGCCAGTCACGGGCGCCATCGCGAACAATTCAAGGATCGGGTTCCGGGTCTTTTGTCGTTTGATGGCTTCATGACTTCTATTGTCCCTCGACTCGCGCTGCAGATTCCACGGTTAATTTCATTTTACATCGATGCCTCTCTGGAGTTGTTTGGATTTGCTTTTTGATGTAGGTCGATGTGCTTGCCTGATCCCTGCGAGACGATCGGAGAAGAGTTGAGTAGGGCTGGGGGGTCGGGTCTGCAGAACACCCCAACGGACGTCAATGGGCGCAACTAACCTGTTCGGTCAAGCTGAAATTGATGCACCACCCCTGGCGTCAAGCCAAAATTTCGGACATCGGCGAATGGTTGGATTTCGCATATCTTTGTCGGCTTAACCGGCGAAGCGTTTGACCCCTTTTTTGGGTGGTCTGGAGAGGAAGGCGCTCTCTGACCCTCGGCCTTACTCAAGAGAATCGGGCCGGACGAAAGGGGAGCATTGGGAAAGGGGGGGTTACAACATTTGCTGCATGCAGCTGATTTGGGCCTCACCGAGGGGCCCATTCCTCGATACATGGGCGCCTCCCGGCGCCGGGAGGCGCAGGGAAGATCAGCTACGCGAGCTGATTCTAAAACCCCCCCTTTGCTATCCCCCCCTTTCGCCCGACCCGAGAGAAGCGTCGCGAAGGCCTGGGGCCTGGGCCACCCCCGAGGACCTCTGCGAGACCCCCGAGACCCCCGACCTCCTCCTCATCCTCCTCCTCTTCATCCTTCCACCTCCTCCTCCTCCTCCTCCTCCTCCTCCTCCTCCTCCTCCTCCTCCTCGAGGACCTCTGCGAGAAGAAGCTTGCGCTCACCGAGCAGAGGGACGCGGCGGCCTGGGCGTGGGCGCGGCGGCGCGACGCCCTGGAGCAGCGGCGGCGGGAGCTCGCCACCTGCGCGGAGGACAGGTCGAGACCCTTTGAGCGAGGAGGAGGAGGAGGAGGAGGAGGAGGAGGAGGAGGAGGAGGAGGAGGAGGAGTATATGATGACAGGATCGGTGCGCTCACGCCGCTCATGATCCCTCCCACTCATCCCTTCCCACTCCCTGCGCTGCTTTTCCGGACCTGGAACTCCAGAAGTAGCCCCATCGTGGTTTTGCGCAATCGGTCAAGGGGCAAGGGGGAGCTGCGTGAATTCGAGGAGTTGGCGGATGAACAGGATGAGATTAGCAGGAGCATGAGGACGAACAAGAGGATGAGCAAGATGATAAGGAAGGACGAGGACGCATATATGAGGAACGCGGATGAGCAGCCAGAAAGATGACCAGGATAATAGCACCAGGATGAGCAGGAGGATGAGGAAGGATGAGCATGAGGACTGACTAACAGCGGCATCAGGATTTCGAGTGGGAGGAGAGGGAGGAGCAGCTTGAGGAAAAGTGGAAGGCCGAGGGGGGGGAAGGAGTGGGGCGAAAACGATGATGAATAACTTAGATCCATAAACGTAGGCCGCGTTGGGGCGACAGCGCCGTTTTCAACGACGGAAGCAAAGCGCCGTTTCTGAAATGAGGCCCACACTGCAACGGGGAAATGAGGCCCACACTGCAACGGGGAATCGGAGGACGCTCCGATTAGAGAGCAACCATCGTAAAAACCAAATCATGACATCTCGCGTGCCATTCTATACGCGGAGGCGGCGGGGCATCTTCCGCACAGGGTCAGGGGAGAAGGGGGAGCAGTCTCCACACTGAGTAGTCGTGGATGGGGGACGTAGTTGTTCTAAGCCGGTTGAGGCATCTCTGGGGGGCCTCCGCTGGCCTTCGAGGCTCCCCTCGGGGGACCTCCAGAGACCTTCGGGCCCCCCTCCCCCTCGCCCTCTCTCCCTCCTCCTTGGGATCGCTCGGTCGTGTGCATTCCTCCTCGGCGAGGACCACCGGGGACCATCTTGGCGAGGCAGCAGCATCGGCGCGGGGACTGCACGCCCGAGCTGTGGCGGGCCTTCCTCGGAGCCTCCCCGGGTGATGCACACCAGGGCAGCGACTCGACCTCACCTGGCGGTGTCGGGGCGAGCCGCCCGAGGAGAGGCCTTCTCCTCCTCCTCCTCCTCCTCCTCCTCCTCCTCCTCCCTGCCTCCTCCTTCTCCTCCTTGCCTCCTCCTCCTCCTCCTCCTCCTCCTCCTCCTCCTCCTCCTCCTCCTCCATCTCCCTCCCTCCCTCCCTCCTCCTTCCACCTCCGTCCTCCCCTTCCCTCCTCTCTCCTCCCACCTTCTCCTCCCCACAACCCGTCAGGATATCCGAGGAAGCCCTGGGGAGGGAAGGTTAGTCTGCGCGGGCGGGGGCTGCCAGGGCAGCCGTGCAGGGTCGTCGAGGCGAGCGCATCTCTCTCGCGCTCTCTCCCGGAGGCTCCCGGCGAGGCCCGGAGGTCTCTGTGTCTGGCCCTATACCGCTGCGTTTCGGCCGCTGCGCTCCCCCGGGGAGCCCACGGTCGGCCCGAGCGGCCTGCGGCGTGGCGCCCGAGCGGTGGTCCGATGAGGCCAACCGTAAGTCGGGCTTGTCCTCCTACAGGGGGATTTTCGACGAAAAATACAAAATACCCCAACAATCGTCAAAAAATAGTCCAACCATAGTCTGGGGACTATTTTTTAGTATTTGTTGACCTTTTTGGGGTATTATTGTTTTTGTGTCGAAAATCCTCCTGTAGGGGGACAGCCCAACATAAGGCCGGCCAACCAGAGGGTGCCCTCCCAGGCCCCCAGCGTTCGCTAAGGATCGAAGAAGTAAGAGCGCCACAGATGTAAACGTTTGGCGCTCCGCGCGGATGTCTTGGATCTGCGCTGGGTTCCCCCCCCCTCGGCGGCGCCTCCGGCGCCGCCCCTGGCGCGCTCCGCGCGCCCGGGCGGGGGGGTCCGGCGCAGATCCACGAAATCTGCGCGGAGCGCCCAACGTGTATGTTTATAGTGTTTTGTTGTTTTCGTCTACAGAAGCCGCGTGCCCGCCTTGCGGGGCCGAGCTTGCCGAGGCTGGAGCTTGTACATATCCAGCGCCCAGAGAGTCGATGTCCTGGGACACCCAGAGGCAGTGGGTATGGACCTCTTTGGGCCCTTGTGGGGTGCGGGGGCCCACGGATATTCATGTCCGCTGCGCCCTTGTCTCCGGGGACACCTGTCACGGGACCCCCGGATCTGGATGTGTGAAGTCTTTGGGGCCGCGTTTCGTTGTCGCTCCGCTCCGCGGGGCGGGAGGCTTGGAAATGCCCGGGACGTTGACGCCTGGGGACAGGGAAGTGGTTAGCGCGTCGCGCCGAAGCTTGGTGGGCCAGGACTGGCGGCGCGACACTCTCGGCCTCCTAGATGGGGTCGGAGTAAATGTGGACGGAGGTTCGCGCCGCATCGCCGATGCATCGACACTGCGGCTCGATGCGGAGCCCGATTTTCGCACTGCCGACGTCGCCGATGCGTCGCCGACGACGGCGATGCACCGCCGATACATCGCCGATGCATCCGCGATGCGGCGCGATCCTCCGACCCCATCTGCTCGGACCCCATCCGGGAGGCCTTTGGACACGCGAAGCCAAAGTTCCTGTATGTACAGTGGAGACCCATGCCAAAGAAGCACCCTGCTTGCCTCTGGGGTGCCCTGGGTTTCTTGGGTTTCGATGGGCTTGCTATGGAAAGCGTGACGTTCCCGCACCAGAAATCAATGGACGACCCGGGGTCTCAGGGTTGGGTTTCTCGGGGAAGGTTCCTTGTGGACTGGCCTCCACTGTTAGTCCTTGCAGGCGCCCTCCAGGAAGTCCGCAGGCTGGAGAGCGAGGCGCAGTGCCTGGAGAGGGCCGAGGCGGCCGCACGGCAGGAGTCTCGGGAGCTGTCGCTGCGCCTGCGCACCCTGCGGGGCACGGCTGCCGCAGCCCCCGCCGCGGACACCGTGGCCGAGGCCGCCAGAGCCATGCACGCCGCGGGGCGTTCCGCGTGCGCCGCGGAGGCTGCCCTGGAGGAGCTGGGAAGGGCAGGATTGGCCGCCAGCGTGGCTGTGCTCCACGTGCACGGAGGGAAGCAGGAGGAGGAGGAGGAGGAGGAGGAGGAGGAGGAGGAGGAGGAGGAGAGAAGGAGGAGGAGGAGGAGGAGGAGGCATATCCCAACTGCGCCAAACCAAGTTGAACCATCCCGGCACTACAAAGGACTTCTCTTAACGCAATTCGTGCGCAACCTGCTTTTTCACTGGGAGGGGGAGGATGCGAAATTCCAAAGAAAGATGATGAGGAGAAGGAGTAGGAGGAGGAAAAAGTGGAGACGTGATTATAGCCGGAGTGCAGTATCCCCAAACAGGGTTTTTAGACCCACTGCGGTTTCCAAAGTCGATTGCGTGCCCGTCCAGTGCGGGCTGGCATGGCATGTTAAAACATGCCTCCTCCTCCTCCTCCTCCTCCTCCTCCTCCTCCTCCTCCACCTCCTCTTCATCCCGAACGGCATCTCGGAGCCCAGAAATGCGAGGATGTCTCCAGCGTAACGGGCTGGACCACCTCGCGCGCGGCATTTCGGACCCCGGAGTTGCGACGATGTCTCGGGCGAAACGTGCTGCGAGGAAGTCTCAGCGAAACGGGCCAGACCACCTCGAGCGCGGCGTCTCAGAGCTCCGAGTTGCGGGGGCCTCCTGGGGCCTCCTGGGGCCTCCTGGTGACCTCCTGGGGCTTCCTCCTGGGCCTCCTGTGGCCTCCTGGACCCCACCTGGGGCTTCCTGAAGCCTCTTGGGGCTCCCAGGGGGGGATATCTAACATGTGGCCGGGGGGGCCACAAGAGCAGGAACAATCAACGAATCGACACTGGATTTGTATTAACTTGACACGTTCTGATAGGGGGCCTCCTGGGGCCTCCTGGGAGCCTCCTGGGAATCTCCTGCGGACCCCTGGGGCCTGTTCTGGGCGTCCTGCGGCCTCCTGAAGCTCTCTGGGGCCTCCTGGGGCTCCCAGGGTCCCAGGGGGGATATGTAACATGTGGTCTTCTGGGCTCCAGGCTGGACCATCTCTTGCGCAGCATCTGGGAGCTCAGAGTTGCGAGAATGTCTTGTGCGAAACGGGCCGGACCACCTTGCGCAATGCATCTCAGAGCTCAGAGTTGCGAGGATGTCTCAGGCGAGATGGGCCTGACCACCTCGCGCAGGGCATCTCGGAGCCCAGAGTTGCGAGGATGTCTCCAGCGTAACGGGCTGGACCACCTCGCGCGCGGCATCTCGGACCCCAGAGTTGCGACGATGTCTCGGGCGAAACGTGCTGCGAGGAAGTCTCAGGCGAAACGGGCCAGACCACCTCGAGCGCGGCGTCTCAGAGCTCCGAGTTGCGGGGGCCTCCTGGGGCCTCCTGGGACCTCCTGGTGACCTCCTGGGGCTTCCTCCTGGGCCTCCTGTGGCCTCCTGGACCCCACCTGGGGCTTCCTGAAGCTCTTGGGGCTCCCAGGGGGGGATATCTAACATGTGGCCGTCGGGCCCCCCCAAAATGGCAGGAAAAATCAACGAATCGACACTGGATGTGTATTGACTTGACACGTTCTGATAGGGGGCCTCCTGGGGCCTCCTGGGAGCCTCCTGGGAATCTCCTGCGGACCCCTGGGGCCTGTTCTGGGCGTCCTGCGGCCTCCTGAAGCTCTCTGGGGCCTCCTGGGGCTCCCAGGGTCCCAGGGGGGATATGTAACATGTGGTCTTCTGGGCTCCAGGCTGGACCACTCTTGCGCAGCATCTGGGAGCTCAGAGTTGCGAGAATGTCTTGTGCGAAACGGGCCGGACCACCTTGCGCAATGGCATCTCAGAGCTCAGAGTTGCGAGGATGTCTCAGGCGAGATGGGCCTGACCACCTCGCGCAGGGCATCTCGGAGCCCAGAGTTGCGAGGATGTCTCCAGCGTAACGGGCTGGACCACCTCGCGCGCGGCATTTCGGACCCCGGAGTTGCGACGATGTCTCGGGCGGAACGTGATGCGAGGAAGTCTCAGGCGAAACGGGCCGGACCACCTCGAGCGCGGCGTCTCAGAGCTCCGAGTTGCGTGGGCTTCCTGGGGCCTCCTGGGGCCTCCTGGTGACCTCCTGGGGCTTCCTCCTGGGCCTCCTGTGGCCTCCTGGACCCCACCTGGGGCTTCCTGAAGCCTCTTGGGGCTCCCAGGGGGATATCTAACATGTGGCCGTCGGGGCCCCCCAAATGGGGGGGGGCACAAGAGCAGGAAGAATCAACGAATCAACATCGCATTTGTATTAACTTGACACATTCTGATAGGCGGCCTCCTGGGGCCTCCTGGGAGCCTCCTGGGAATCTCCTGCGGACCCCTGGGGCCTGTTTTGGGCGTCCTGCGGCTTCCTGAAGCTCTCTGGGGCCTCCTGGGGCTCCCAGGGTCCCAGGGGGGATATGTAACATGTGGTCGTCTGGGCCCCCAGGCTGGACCACCTCTTGCGCGGCATCTGGGAGCTCAGAGTTGCGAGAATGTCTTGTGCGAAACGGGCCGGACCACGTTGCGCACGGCATCTCAGAGCTCAGAGTTGCAAGGATGTCTCAGGCGAGACGGGTCGGTGTCTCGGGCGAAACGTGCTGCGAGGAAGTCTCAGGCGAAACGGGCCGGACCACCTCGAGCGCGGCGTCTCAGAGCTCCGAGTTGTGAGAATGTTTTGTGCGAAACGGGCTGGACCACCTCGCGCAGGGCATCTCAGAGCTCAGAAGTTCGAGGATGTCTCAGGCGGGCTCCAAGGGTCCCAGGGAGGATATGTAACATGTGGTCTTCTGGGCCCCCAGGCTGGACCAACTCTTGCGCGGCATCTGAGAGCTCAGAGTTGCGAGAATGTCTTGTGCGAAACGGGCAGGACCACCTTGCGCACGGCGCACGGCATCTCAGAGCTCAGAGTTGCGAGGATGTCTCAGGCGAGACGGGCCGGACCACCTCGCGCAAGGCATCTCAGAGCTCAGAAGTTCGAGGATGTCTCAGGCGAAACGGGCCGGACCACCTCTCGCGCGGCGTCTCCGAGGTTAGAGTTTCGAGGATGTCTCAGGCGAAACGGGCCAGACCACCTCGCGCAAGGCATCTCAGAGCTCAGAGTTTCGAGGATGTCTCAGGCGAAACGGCCCAGACCTCTCGCACGGCACCTCGGGGCTCAGAGTTTCGAGGATGTCTCAAGCGAAACGGCCCGGACCACCTCTCGCGCGGCGTCCCGGAGCGCAACTTTTCGAGGATGTCTCAGGCGAAACGGCCAATCCCGGCCAACTCAGAAACGAGAGTTGTGAGGATGTCTCAAGCGAAACGGCCCGGACCATCAATTTTTTGTGAGGATGTCTCTGCTCCGACTTCCCTCGGCCGGAGTTAGTTTCTATCACAACAGCACCCCGTTCAGCAAGCTGTTTGGGGAATAAATATCCTCTTTGGGGAACCCTGTCTCGGAGCCCAGAGTTGCGAGGATGTCCCAGGTCGCACCTGGTCGACGAGTAAGCTGTCGGGTCGGCACTGTGAGAGGCTCCACCGCCATGCTGTGAACTCAGAAGCAACTTTAAGAGGAAGCGGGGGAGGGCGCGGAAGCGGGGGGGCATGTCGTGATGGTTCCCTCGGGGATGATATCGAGAGGTACGCGGCGCACGTCTCAAAAGAAAAATCGTGACGTCGGATGTCTGGGGAGGGCGGAAGGCAGTGCGCGCATGACGGATGCTGAGGCGGCAGAAACGACGACGGCGGGGACGGGGAGGCGGAGGCAGAGGCGCAGCAGCGGGAGGCGGGAGGCGGGAGGAGGGAGGAGGGAAGAGGAACCAGGCGGGAAGTGGGAAGAGGGAGGCGGGAGAAGGAATGAGAGAGGTTGTGATTGGAGCTCCTGTGCTACGAAACGTCTCAGGCAGAATGGGCTAGACCATCTCACGCGCAACATCTTCGAGCCTCGCATTGTGCGAGGATGGCTCAATCGAAACGGACCGGACCACCTCGCGAGCGACATCTTGGAGCCCAGTATTGGAAGGATGTCTCAAACGAAACGGGCCGGACAATCCTTCGCACACGTTTTGACAAGTCCACATCGCACTCGCTTCCCGTTAGGTCCTCTCCTGCAACTCCTTTCCTTCTCCCTCCTCCTCCTCCTCCTCCTCCTCCCCCTCCTCCTGCCTGCTCCCTCATGCACATCATCCGCCTCCTCCTTCTCCCTTCCATCTCCTTCTCCTTCTCCTCCTCCTCCTCCTCCTCCTCCTCCTCGACCTCCTCTTCATCCCGAACGGCATCTCGGAGCCTAGAGTTGCGAGGATGTCTCCAGCGTAACGGGCTGGACCACCTCGCGCGCGGCATCTCGGACCCCAGAGTTGCGACGATTCTCGGGCGAAACGTGCTGCGAGGAAGTCTCAGGCGAAACGGGCCGGACCACCTCGAGCGCGGCGTCTCAGAGCTCCGAGTTGCGGGGGCCTCCTGGGGCCTCCTGGGGCCTCCTGGGGACCTCCTGGGGCTTCCTCCTGGGCCTCCTGTGGCCTCCTGAACTCCACCTGGGGTTTCCTGAAGCCTCTTGGGGCTCCCAGGGTGGATATCAAACCTGTGGCCGTTTGGGCCTCTCCAAATGGAGGGGGGGGCACAAGAGCAGGAAGAATCAACGAATCGACACCGGATGTGTATTCACTTGACACGTTCTGATAGGCGGCCTCCTGGGGCCTCCTGGGAGCCTCCTAGGAATCTCCTGGGGACCCCTGGGGCCTGTCCTGGGCGTCCTGCGGCCTCCTGGAGCTCTCTGGGGCCTCCCCCTCCTCCTGCCTGCTCCCTCATGCACATCATCCGCCTCCTCCTTCTCCCTTCCATCTCCTCCTCCTCCTCCTCCTCCTCCTCCTCCTCCTCCTCCTCCTCCACCTCCTCTTCATCCCGAACGGCATCTCGGAGCCTAGAGTTGCGAGGATGTCTCCAGCGTAACGGGCTGGACCACCTCGCGCGCGGCATCTCGGACCCCAGAGTTGCGACGATGTCTCTGGCGAAACGTGCTGCGAGGAAGTCTCAGGCGAAACGGGCCGGACCACCTCGAGCGCGGCGTCTCAGAGCTCCGAGTTGCGGGGGCCTCCTGGTGCCTTCTGGGACCTCCTGGTGACCTCCTGGGGCTTCCTCCTGGGCCTCCTGTGGCCGCCTGGACCCCACCTGGGGCTTCCTGAAGCCTCTTGGGGCTCCCAGGGTGGATATCAAACCTGTGGCCGTTTGGGCCTCTCCAAATGGAGGTGGGGGGGCACAAGAGCAGGAAGAATCAACGAATCGACACCGGATGTGTATTCACTTGACACGTTCTGATAGGCGGCCTCCTGGGGCGTCCTGGGGGCCCCCTGGGAATCTCCTGGAGACCCCTGGGGCCTTTCCTGGGCGTCCTGCGGCCTCCTGGTGCCTCCTGGGGCCTTCTGGGGACCTCCTGGGGCTTCCTCCTGGGCCTCCTGTGGCCTCCTGAACTCCACCTGAGGTATCCTGAAGCTTCTTGGGGCTCCCAGGGGGGATATCTAACCTGTGGCCGCTTGGGCCCCTCAAAATGGAAGGGGGGCACAAGAGCAGGAAGAATCAACGAATCGACACCGGATGTGTATTAACTTGACACGTTCTGATAGAGGGCCTCCTGGGGCCTCCTGGGAGCCTCCTGGGAATCTCCTGGAAGCCCCTGGGGCCTGTCCTGGGCGTCCTGCGGCCTCCTGGACCTCTCTGGGGCCTCCTGAGGCTCGCAGGGTCCCATGGAGGATATGTAACATGTGGTCTTCTGGGCGCCCAGGCTGGACCACCTCTCGCGCAGCATCTGAGAGCTCAGAGTTGCGAGAATGTCTTGTGCGAAGCAGGCAGGACCACCTTGCGCACGGAGAAGGAGTAGGAGGAGGAAGGAAAAGTGGAGAGGTGATGATGAGGTGGCGGAGGAGCGGATGATGAGGAGGATGAGGAGGACGAGGAGGACGAGGAGGCGGACGACGAGGAGGAGGCGGAGGAGGAGGAGGAGGCGGCGGAGAAGGAGGAGGAGGAGGAGGAGCGGGAGCAGCGGCAGGAGTAGACAGCACACAGCACGAGCGGCAGGACGGGGGCAGGGGGGTGGCGCCCGACCTGCAGCCGTGCGCCCGAACGGCCAGAGAGGCCTTCCGCCCCGCCCCGCCCCCCCCCGCCCGAGAGGCAGCAGATGTACAGTCCACCCGCGTACAGTCGGTCCGCTGAAGGCTGAAGAGCCTCTGAAGGAGGACCCCTTCCCGAGGGGGAGGGGGCTCGGTGTCCCCTGCTTGTTTTACGGCCACATCCTGTCCTAGGTTTTCCTGACGCTGTCCACGGGCAGTCGAAGTTTAACTTGTGGAAAGCAGGGGCCTCGGCCCTTGCCTATGGATCGTTAGGACATCGTCTCGACGGTTCCCAGGATGAGCGACTTCCAAGGCTGCCCTTGCATCCTGCCCCTTCGACCCATCCTTGACCGCTTTCGCTGGCCGCGCCCCGCTCGCAGAGTGCCGGCATGGCCTTCGAAGGCCCTGGCGTCCTTCCCGTGCACATACCAGTTGACTGCAGGCTTTTTTCGGGACCCGCGGCCCCAGGACGTCCCGAACGCTGCCCCCTGGGGCAGGTCGTCGCCCCGGGCTCATTTCCTGATGGCCTCCGGGGGCCCGAAGACGGCCGAAAGCCGAGGCCGAGGATCGGCGGCGCCCCACGGGGGGGGGGTCAAGCGAGGAGGGGCGGGCCTGCTCGGAAGGCGGCGGGGCTCGTGACCTCGGAGCTCCCAGCGACCCGAAGAGTTGCGGAAGACGATCAATGGAGGGGAGGCATATTGCCAAACAGTTTCCATATGTCTGGAGCATGTTTGCAATACGCTTCCAAAGTGCCAACACATGTTTTTGACTATGCTTCGAACATGCTCAAAACATGTGGAACTCATAAACTAAAGACATGTGTAATTCAGTGATCGAGCGGTTCGAGTGTCCACTGTCATGCTATCCACAACGCTAGAGAAGCAGGCCGCGGGGAGCGCGAGGCGGCGTGCCTCCGCCGCGGCGGTCGGCGCCGCAGCAGAGGCCGGACTTGCGTCTCCAACAGAGGCCCATCACAACAGTGCATCCTGATGCGTCCCAGGGCTCGGGCGACGAGATGTATTCAGATCCACTGCTCCCGGGCCAGGCCCGTCCTGGGCCCAGGAGCTGTGCATACGCCCTCCTGGCCAGGCCACGAGGGCGTGGCGTCTGCGCCGCGCGCCGGGCTCAGGGTGTGCCTGGCCAGGGGGGCGGTGGATGTGCATACAGGCTGCGTCGCCCCAAGAGCTCTGGGGCCGCAGGAGCTCCGCGCCGCCCGACGCCGGGACGCCGCCGCGCCGGAGGCGCCCGCCGGGGCGCCCCGCGGGGGCCCCGCCGGGCCGGAGGCGGCGGCCGAGGGCGCAGCCAAAGGGGCCGCGCAGGCCCGCAGGGGCCGGGGTCGGGAGCTCTGGCCCAGCGCAGCGCTAGCTGGCTCGCTGCGAGTGCACGCCTGTGCTTTGGCAGACGCCCAGGAGGGAGGAGGAGGAGGAGGAGGAGGAGGAGGAGGAGGAGGAGGAGGAGGAGGAGGAGGAGGAGGAGAAGGAGGTGTGATCCAACGTATTGAAACAATCAAGACGGCGGTTTCTCGCCGTCTTCGGCCTCGGGGGGCCCTCGCTGGGCCCCCGCACCGTCAAACAACGGCTCGGGATGAAACGACGGCCCTCTGGGACAGGGTCGAGGCTTCCAGGGCCGCCGTTGCCTCTTCGGCTGCCTCTACTGCATCCTTCGGCTGCCTCTACCGCCTCCTGTTTTATGATGTTCCAACTTGCTTTAGCCTTGATCACCAGAAAGAGTTTCGAGCACCAGAAAAGTACCGCCCGGGAGGATATACTCGTTCGACACTGTTTCGATGTTTGTTGGGGTGCTCGGAATTATTTGTGGTATTTGGCCCTTAAGCACGATGGGAGCAGCATGACTCTTGGACGCAAGATGCCGACGGCCCCCCAGACATGCTCGCGTCGTGGCAAAAATCACGACAGACAGTCTTTGGCCCTTCTCGGCCCCATGTTACTAGGCTTCGGAGCGGTTCCAACAGCGGCCCGGGACGAAACGCAGGCCCTGAGGAAAGAGTCGGGGGGTCCGGGCACCGCGCATGGAGTTTGGGAAGTCGATTAATGGAGAGGAAGCATGCTGCCAAATAGTTTCGAGATGCCTAACAATTGTTTCAATCATGCGATCTACACGTATATATATAACATGCTTGAAACATGTTTAGAGCATGTTTTACACATTATAAACACATGTTTACTTCAACAGGCATGGTGAGAATAAGGACGTCGCAGGTCTGGGCCAGCACACGCGGCCCATCGTGTCGCGCCGCCGGTGCTGGCCCACTGCGCTTCGGCGCGAGAATCCCCAGGCGTCGACGCACCGCGCCTTGTGGAGCCTCCCGCCCAGCGGAGCGGAGCGACACGCTATCCACTCGCAGGGCATAGCTTGCGTGTCGTCGGGGCCGTCGTGGCGACACGCTAGGCGAAGAGATCCTCCGGTCCAATGCTCGGACGCCTCTGCCCGAATCTTGCTTCCACCGCGACAAGAATCATCACATGCTAAGCGAACGTGCCTGACAAAGATAGGGGGGGCGGGGGACGGGGTCACGGGGCACGCGCCGACCCCCAGTGGCCGCCTCCTCTCTCGAGGGCCCAGCGCCGATTTCTCGGCGACGCATCGCCGGTGCCAGGCCGATGCCTCCCCCACGTGGGCCGCTGACCCCCTCCCCCTCGCCCACGCCCAAGTCGGGGCAACGTAAGACTCGAGTACGCGGGACTCGGGCTCGCCTTCGGCTTTCTGACGAGCCCGCCTGGAAGGTCGACGGTCCAGGGTTCGTGGGCTGTCTGCAGCGGGAGCTCGCCCCAGGTTTCAGCCTGGGTCCCGTCCTTGCCGTGATGGGCCCCGCCGGGCAAGCCCGAGCCCCCCCAGCCCGCGCGCGGGCAAGATCTATATATCCATATCTGGTGCGTCTTGGATGTTCTCGTAAAGGGGCCCCGCAAGGCCGAGGCGCATGGAACATCGAGCCTCTAGAGGGGCCAAGTTCTTGTCCACATCCAGTGCGCCTCGGGGTTCTGGGGAAGGGAGCCCGAAGCTCCAAGCTGCAGCGGCTATGGACACGAGTCTTGCCCAAGTCTTGCGTCTCCCCGATCAAGGTCGCGGCTCTTGACGGCCGCCTGGCGCTGCTGAGATCGGAGCTCGCCGCGGCCGAGCGGCGCCTCGCGCGGGCGCGGCGCGCGCGGCGGCTCGCGGGCGCCGGCCCCGTGGTGGCGTCGGCGGTGGCCTCGCTGTTCTGGCTGGGCGTCCCCGAGGGCGTTGGCTACGCTGGGCTGTCGGCGCTGGTTTCCCTGTCGTTCGCGGCCCGATCGGGCGCCTGCGGCCGCTTCCTCTGCTCAGTGCTCTAGTCGTCCAAGGGTCGAGCCGGGCCCAATTCGTTGCACCCACCTCGGTGCGGCGGCCTGGGAACTGCAGTTGTCATAGTGTGTGTTTGTCAATTCAGGCTTTCGGGCCTGCGCGTGGTTCTGGCCACGCAGCGGCAGTGGGCTTCCAGGAAGGCTCCATGCCAAATGGCGAGGCCGACGCAAGGCTGGGATGTTGCCGTGTGCCTTGTCAGCGAAAGTATACCGCATCGAGGCACCTGTGTACATGCGAGTGCGCATTAGTATCTAGCGGTGCGCAGACATGATGTTTATATACTTGCGCCGTGATTGTGCGTTGTCCTCCAGTGGATCCCAGGCCATTTGTCCTGAGAGGGGATGTGAACGTGCAATAGGGAAGCGCGCCCATCAACTGCCAACTTCAGGATTTCAGGGGTCTCCTGCGAGGGTTCTTGGAAACATGATGAATATCTCTTGGGTCCCGTTGCAGAGCCTTTCGGTCTGTCTTTTGGCCATCTTGACAGCTTGTCGGCACTCTTGTGGAAATTCTTGAGACCAGAGGCCAGAAACTTTGGGGTCTCTACTGATGGCTTCCAGGAGCGACTCTGAACCATCACCCTCCTGGGCCCTCTTGTGACTCACTTGGGGTAGTCTGGAGAGCCTTGAAGGGCCCGCTTGGGGCAATTCTGGGCTCTTTTGGGGGCCTCTCGGGCAATCTTGGAGCAACCTTTCGCGGGCGAAGAGGGCACCAGCGCAACACAGCACAAACGATGAGTTTCCACTCATGCGGCTTCTCGTGTGCATCTTCGAGGGTCTCGGGCGCCACATGTTCGCCATGCTGGGGCCTCATGAACGAAGGATTGCAAAAAAAAACCCGAAGGATTGCAACAAAAACCCTGGGTGAAGGATTGCAAACAAACCCTGGGTTTTTTTTGCAATCCTGGGTTTTTTTGCCAACAAACAACCATTTTTTTTTTTTTGCAAAAAAACATGTTTGTTTGCAAAAAAAACCTGGATTGCAAAAAAAAACCTTGGTTGTTTTTGCAATCCTGTTTTTTTTTTGTTGCAAAAAACATGTTTTTTTTGCAAACCTGGGTTGTTTTGCAATCCTTCGTCGTGTCGACTCGAGCAGCCTCTCGCCAGCTTAGAGCCTGGTTCTCTTGGGCCCCGCTGGCCCCATCTTCGGGATCAGATATTTGACGCTCCGACTGGCCGCGCTCCCGCCGCCTTCGGACTCCCAGGAGACGCACCCCTGGGGAAGGCAGGGTTGCAAAAAAACAAAGGATTGCAAAAAAACGAAGGATTGCAAAGGATTGCACAAAAAAACAGGATTGCAAAAAAACCCGAAGGATTGCAAAAAAAAACCCTGGAACGAAGGATTGCAAACAAAAACCCTGGGTTTTTCCCGGAAAGGGCGCCGGCCCAGGGTTCTCTTTTAGTTGGTAAACCTGTCCCCCGGTGCCAACTTGAGGGAGGCCGGCGAATTTTTTCCCTGATAAATAACGAGGTCGAAGGAGGCCGGCGAATTAAAATTTGAGGATGTCTCGAGCGAAACGCTTGTTTTTGAAATCCCGATCGATAAATCACAGGGTGCGGGCCACTTTTTCGTGTGTTGAGGATGTCTCGAGCGAAACGCTTGCTCCGCAGAGTTTGCCGAGGATGTCTCGAGCGAAACGCTTGTTTTGCAGAGCCGACCGCGACGCGGAAAAGCGCCCCGCGCGAAGGAATTTCGATGATGTTTCGACTAATTTGTTTGTTTTTGTACGATTTCCTGGAATTTTGGCAGGATGTCTCGAGCGAAATGCACGACCCCACCCTAGCACGACCATACCCCAGCACGACCACACCCCAGCACGACCAGACCCCAGCACGACCAGCACGACCCGAGCACGACCCCACCCCAGCACGCACGACCATACCCCACGACCACCCCAGCACGACCACACCCCAGCACGACCCGACCCCAGCACGACCCTACCCCAGCACGACCACACCCCAGCACGACCACACCCCAGCACGACCACACACCCACGCACGACCACACCCCAGCACGACCACACCCCAGCACGACCACAGCCCCAGCACGACCACACCCCAGCACGACCACTCCCCAGCATCGATAAATCACAGGGTGCGGAGCACCCCAGCACGAACCCACCCCAGCACGACCCCACCCCAGCACGACCCCACCCCAGCACGACCACGCCCCAGCATGACCACACCCCAGCACGACCACACCCCAGCACGACCACTCCCCAGCACGACCCCACCCCAGCACGACCCCACCCTAGCACGACCACACCCCAGCACGACCACACCCCAGCACGACCCCACCCCAGCACGATCACACCCCAGCACGACCCCACCCCAGCAAGACCACACCCCAGCACGACCGCACCCCAGCACGACCTTACCACAGCACGACCACACCCCAGCACGACCACGCCCCAGCACGACCACGCCCCAGCACGACCACGCCCCAGCACCACCAGCCCCAGCACGACCCCCCCCAGCACGACCACCCCCCCAGCACGACCACCCCCAGCACGACCACCCCCCAGCACGACCACCCCCCAGCACGACCACTCCCCAGCACGACCACACCGCCTTGGTTGAGTGGTTGCCTGTCGTCGTGGAATGTTTCGTGGGGTGTCTCGTGGAATGTTTCGCGGGGTGTCTCGTGAAATGTTTCGTGAGGTGTCTCGTGGAATGTTTCGTGAGGTGTCTCGTGGGCTGTTTCGTGAGGTGTCTCGTGGGATGTTTCGTGAGGTGTTGCCCAGTTGGGTATCATGAAAACGTGTCCATGCTCCACATGTCTATATCCCTTTCCGGGTTCGTGGGTCCATCATGTTTTTTGCATTCCTGGGTGTTTTTGCAATCCTTCGTTCCAGTGGGGTCGTTTTGGAAGAGCCGCCACCCTGAACCACCTACTCCCGGAGGGCCGGCGGGATTCTTGGAGGACGTGGGTACAATTTCCGACCCGCGGTCCCGCGTGCGCCAGTGATCATGCGCACGTTGCTGGCCGTGCATGTGGATGTTCACATATGGGTCGTTCCAATCATGGCCTCGCCTTCGAGGGCCGAAGGAGTTATCGTCTCTTCCGCGGCTGAAGGCGGCGGAAGGTCGGCGGAAGGAAGCGGAAGTAGAACGATGCCGCTTCCGCCCGCGGACGCTGGCGGAAGCTCGGCGGAAGGCGGTGGAAGGAAACGTTGCGCCTCCAAGAGATGACAACGTTTTTGGGTCCAGGGTTTCCGAAGTCGCCCACGTGTGTGATGCGTGTAAGGGGCGGCCATGGCATGCGAGTCCGTCGTTCGTGACGTCATCTGCAGCAGCGGAGTGGTCAGCTTGGATTGCTTGGCCCAACGTTCGAGGAAGCGCAAAGGGCGAGTGGATGAGCAGCGGGTCCCGCTCCCAAGCAGAATCGGCGCGATCCGTCGCCAGAGCGGAGGCAGCATCGGCCACATGTTTCGGGGGTACTTCCCCGGGTCCTGGCGCTCGAGCGCCAGATGCGCGGATCCGTCATTCATGTTGGTGTGCACCCGAAGAATGGCCCCACCTGACTCCGATTTGGCCGACGCCGGATCCAGGGTGTGATCTGAGGTGGGCGAGGCTTGTCCGAACCGGCCAGCAGTTGGCCCAAGTTGGTGGGGCCTCAAGTTGGAACCTCATGGGCGTAGCCCCAGGAGCATCCGAGCGGGATCGGGCTCCTCTGCGATCTCCCCACACCCTGACCCTTGCCCAACCCTTCTGGGATCTTCTCCCGCCGCCCGTCCCTCGCAGGGAAGGGATCCGGGGGAATCTTTTTTGTTTGCGGACACGATTCCGATGCGGCTCGATTATGCTCGGGTAGCACGCTTGAGGAGGGGGGCCCCAGGGGGGCCCCAAAGTCATTGAAGTTGGAGTCCGTATTCGTTTTAGCTCCAGCCATTCTGGCTCAGGCCACGCTGGCCCACGAAACGTTCTTGCTCGGTCCTTGCTTGCTCGGGCCGTGCTAGAACAGGCATGGTTTCGGGCGTGCGTCGTCTGTTGTTCACTTCAACGCCATACGTCCTGATGCTTCTGATGTGTCGAAATACTGGCGCCGAGCTGATGTGGTAAGGTATGCCCGCCGTTGATGGTACATGCAGTGTTCTCATGGAGTCGCCGTGGTCTTCCAAACCGTGCAGGGTCCGGTTTGTAGACGAGCTTTTATGGATGCTGCATGAGTTCCAACGGCAATGATTCTTTCGGGACTGGTTTATTCAGGCCACTCGTAGTCAGACCGTTCTACGCTCAGACGCACACACTGACGCTCACGCATACTCTCAGGAGGGCAAGAAACACAGACACAATTAATCCGCGATTCCCCAGAAAATATGGGAACATACGGAAAGTGGGGGGGAAGACACAAACCAAGAAAATATAGGCAAATATGGGGAATCTTTTTATTTGTGTGTATTTATTTGTGTGTGCCAGGGCCCCTTCGTACTCAGCCGCCTCCCTCGTACCCAGACTCACTCACACTCGACCGGCTCACACGTACGCAGACTCACCCAGGCAGACCACTCGCAGTCAGATCATTCACGCTCAGACCCACGCAAATTCAAGCGCTCTCATGCTCTGACTCCCTGATGCTCAATCCAACTCGTTCTCGTGTATGAGCGCTCCAGGGAAGAGACGCCAGGGGATATTTCATGTCCCCGTTCGTGGCCAGATTGTGGGGATGTCTCAGGCGGTTTGCCTCTTTGGTTACCCAGGCTCTTGTCGTCGGAGAGCTTCCCCCTTCGCGGCTAATGCCGTGGATGTCTCAGGCGGTTTCCTTGTCTGGTTTCCCAGACGCCTCTCTTTGGAGAGGCTCATGGCTACCGCTGTGTAGCACGCGTAGCACTTCGGCAACCCGAGGGTGAGCCGCCATAGGGGGTGTATCTTGGGCCCGCTCGCGGCCAGATTGCGGGGATGTCTCAGGCTCTGCGTCTGTTTGGATGCCCAGACTCCTATAATTGATAGCCTCGTGCTCACCGCGGTGTAGCATGGCAGGCCTAGAGGTTGACACCAACACCAAGATCGGCCGTCTGCCTTCACCGAAGGAAGAAGATCCCGATCTCGGCGATGGTGGTAATATCCTGGCCTCCAAGGTGGCCGAAATGTTACCACCAACACCGAAATCAAGTATCATCATCCCCCTGTAAAGGCAACCCCTTGTGTTGGTGTTGGTGCTCATTTCCAGGTCTCCAATAGCAGGCGTGGTATCTGGGCACCCGGAGGATGAGCCGCCAGGAGGCATTCTGGTTCGCGGCCATATTGGGGATGCATCGGGTGGTTTGCTTGTTCAAATTGCCAAGCTTCCTCTCTCTTGAGAGGCTCATGGCCACCGCGATGCCGCAGGCGTAGCCCTGCCCTTCGGCACCCCAGGGGGGAGCCACCAGGGTGTGTGTGTGTGTGTATGTGTGTGTGACGGGCCCGTTCGCGCCCAGATTGGGGGGATGGTTCGAGCGGTTCGCCAGTTTCGGGGCTTCAGACCGGGCGGTGCCGCCGTGGGGTGCTACACTGCCAACTCGCGCCTTGGATCTCTCAGGGGAAACGCTGGCTTGGGCACGACCAACCCCTCTCCTGTCAGAGTCTCAAGGTCATCCCGATGTCGTAGGCATAGGAGGCACTCCAAGGGGGAGCCGCCTGGGATCGCTCAGTCGCTGCAGGCTAAGATTCAGCCACTCAGACAATCACAGCCGGAATTGTCAGGACCTGGGATCCACATATGGGGATCTCCGCATCGAGGAATTGGTCTTGGTCCTGGAATAGCAGCCTCTGGGTGCTGAGATTTTGAAGCGCTGGCCGACTCGACTTTCTCCTTACGCCGGAGATCCGGGAATCCAGCCACGTGCGTGCGTGTGTGTGTGTGTGTGTGTGTGTGTGTGTGTGTGTGTGTGTGTGTGTGTGTGTGTGTGTGAGTTCGGGCACCCCTACTTCGTTTCCACTGCAGCCCATTGCAAGCCTGACAGCGACGGGCCCCCTCCGAAGCCGCCGGCTAACAAAAGTGGTTCCGGTCCCTGCTTCGTTCGGTAGCAAACCCTGGGAGCCTTGTATACCCTCGCAATTCCGTCTTTAGCTTCGGTCGGCGTCGATTAGCGACTGGGAGTCGATGAGATAGCGCCGATCTAGCGTCGGCTCAGCGTCGACGTAGCGTCGACGCAGCGTCGATGAGCGTCGACGTAGCGTCGATGAGCGTCGGCTCGCGAGAGCCCACGAGTTGGTGTGGGAGGCCCCCCGTGACTTGCCCAGGGGGCCACACGCGAGCCCTACCCCTACCCCCC